TCTACTACTACTACTACTACTACTACTACTACTACTACTACTACTACTACTACTACTACTGCTAATACTGCTACTACTACTGCCACTACCACTACCACTACCACTACCACTACCACTACCACTACTACCACTACTACCAACGCCCTCACCTAGGCTTCTCATTCTCATTACTATTCTCACATGCGCTTCGTCCCATCTCTGACCGAGTACTCCTCGCTCTCCTCCGCCTCGGTCCGCCCTCCAAGGCCCCTCCTCCTCGCCCCGCCCCGCGCTCCCCGCCCTGGGGCGGCGGCGAGGGCTCTGACGGCCCCCGTCGGCGAGGGCGAGGACGGCGAGGCGGGGGAGGTCGGACGCTCGATGCCCGGGGGTTGCTAGGGGTGCCCCTGGCCCAAGGTGCCCCCGGCTTTTCGCTCAATGCTTGGACGTCCCCCGGGGCTCCTCCGCGGGTCTCGTGCAGGGGGCCCCCCTGGGTGCCGCGGGGGGCCTCCCGAGAGCTCCTGGGGGGCGCCTGGGACCAGGAGCGCTCTTGGCAGCACCCGAGGTAGGAGGCGGCTCGGCTGGGGCTCGGGATTCCGGGTAGCTCCTTGGATTTGTGTCGTGGGCCACGTGGACAGAAACGCCCTTCTCGTTCCTTGTGATGTGTCCCTTGTGACAGCACGACGATGGTGCAGTGGAGACCCATACCAAGAGACACCCTGCCTGAATGCAGGTTGCCCCGGGTTTCGATGGTTTTGCTGTGGACAGCGTGGCGTTCCAATACCCAAAAACCAATGGAGGTCCTGGAGTCTCAGGGTTGGGTTTCTTGTTGTGGACTGACCTCCTCTGTGTGGCGCGCGCGGGTGCGCGTGTCAAACCTGCCGCCAGCCCCCCCCCCCTCCCTGGCGGCAGGCGCCGCTGAGCCACGTCGGGGAGGACTGCTGGGGCCAGTGCGGCGCAAGCGCAGGCCTTGGGCCGTGCACGATGGGCGGGAGGGAGCGGAAGGGGGATGTTGGGCCAATGTTCCACCACCGCTACCATATGTAGGACGGGGGAGAAGGGAGGATGAGAAGGTCCTCCTCCTCCTCCTTCTCCTCCTCCTCCTCCTCGTCCTCCTCCTCCTCCTCCTCCCTCTTCTACATCTGGTAGTGGTGGTGGAAAACGGGCCTATCAGTGGAGGGATGAACCCGGTGAAGGGCGCATGCATCGTCGTCGCGGCGCTCTGCGTAGTCAGCGGCCGCGGGTGGCGAAGCGCGAGCACCCACTGCTGTCGAGGAGGAGCCCAGACGTGGGCGCGTCGTGGAACGGTCGCGACGGGAGGCTTTCGACAGTTTTCGGCCTCCAGGGGCCGTCGCCGGGCCGCAGGACCGTCAAACAGAGACTCGCGATGAGAAGCTTTCCATGGGGAAATCACCACCCACCAAACCACCCCAACCCAACCCGCAGGCTTCAATGTCCCTTCCATTTCCAGTGGGGGGGGGGTCGGGGAACGTTGCAAAAACACATAGAACCGATATCGCCCCCAACCCGAAATTCGGGTCAAATTCGGGTCTTCGGGTTGGGTTGTGGTGGTCTGATAGGTATTCAGGAAAGCGTCTGGACTTTCGGGGACCCCGCATTGAACAACATGTTAGCCAGCGCGAACCCAAAACATTGTGTTCTAACATACTATGTGGTGCAATCTACGTGGTGCAAATCACCCTGCCAAACTTGAAGTTGTCAACTCCACTGGTCGCGCAATCATCCCACCCACCCACCCGCAACTTGGTTTGCAAAACCCATGCGGCGCCGGTTGCGATGACAGCTTGGCGCTGGCTGTCGCATCGGTGCGGCCGCGCTACCGCGCGCAGATTCGAGCGCAAAGCGGCCAGCTAGTCTGGCGCGACCGACGCGGCCGCGGTTGCGCTGCCCGTTGGGCACTTCCCGTCGCGCCTGGAAGGCCTCGCTGGAGCGCGGGCGTTGCACTGCGGCTCGGTGGCCTGGGCGGGCGCGGTGCCATGACGACGTTGACAGCGGCAGACACAATGATGAGATTACAGTCGGGGCCCTGAGGAAGGAACCCTTTTCGTTGGAGAGGGGCTCCGCGTTTCTTAAGTGTTGCACAGCTTGCCTCAGGCTTCCCTCATGTTTTCGATAGGAAGTCGAAGCTTAACTTATGGCAAAAAGAGTCTCGTTCCCTAGTTTCGGTTCCTTAGGTCAACGCCCCGACTGTACTGGTGGCGACGCTAACGAGGACGGCGGCGAGGGCAACGCTGGCGGCGATGCCGATCACGCCGATGACGGTGGGGGTGCCCGCGCGTCGGCCGGGAAGGTTGTTGTGGGAGGATCTCGACGTGCCCGCGCGGCCCACGCACGCGAGTGGCCCGCATGGCATAAGTTGACATGGTCAGAGCGTGACTTACCTACGGTAGGTCTGCGTCGTGTCGACCAGCGGCGACCCCAGCGCGGACGTTCAAGGTTGAACGCCGGCGGCGACCCAGAATCGATCGATGTTGAACGATTGGACGTTGCGGAAACGGCCGATCGTTCAAGGTTGAACGATCCCTGCGGTGTCAAAAACCAACGCCGGGGTCGACACGACACGAACCTGCCGTACCCCGCTTTCGCTTCCAGGCAAAACCAAGCCATACCATGCGCCTCCTCGTCAAGCGGCCTGACCAGTACAGGCCGTAGTGTGGCATCGTTTGGTACCTCTTGGAAGCGAGGGTGGTCAAAGCGAGGTAGGTTTGTTTTCCCCCTGATGGGTCGTGCCCTCCCCCCCAGCACGCGCGCAAAGGCGTTCGAATGATGCCGACATGCGCGCGAGAGGCCCGCCTGGTCGCATGTGACCAACATGCTGAACATGCTTTGTTTTTTTGGTTCTCATTCGCAAGAGCGCGCGCGCAGACACTTTCTGGAAAAACCGTGTTGCGTAGCCGTGTGCTCGTGCATGTGCTTGGGACAATCGTTTCTGCAAGCGTTGCGACATACAGATGTTTGAAAGACTTGTGGCGTGCGCGCGCGACGACGCGTGCGTGTGCACTGGGTTGGGGGGTGACCAGCGGTAGCTACACGTTCGCCTTTTATGGGCCCAGGCTGGAGCCACCCTGGACCGCAAGTATCCCGCATGGTTCGGGCGTCGATCCTTGCCGAGTCATCGGGGGCGGGGGCAGTCAGGGATAGCTGCGGGTTCGTGCGTCGGGGTCCCCAAATTGGAGTTACCTCGGACCGCAGTTAGCCTGAGTAACTCGGGCGTCCCATTTCTTCTTGCCTTTTGGAACAGAAGGATTCTTGCAAACGGGGGAGTTTCGAAAGACGAGCGTGCGCATCGTATTATTTGACGAGGATGACTGGGGGGATCCCAGCTTAGTTGGGATGGTACGAGTTCAGATTTAGAACAAACGGTGTTGCAGAATCATGCAAAATGCACCCTTCAAGCGGTGCGGATAAAACCGGGGGTGGTCCGGGGGTAGATTTCAATATTTCTCTTGGAAACAAGAACGTATGTGGTGCAAGTTATATAGTGCAGTCTGCGTGGTGCGAAGTACGTGGTGCTAGCTGTGTGGTGCAATTTGCGCGGTGCGCAACTCAAGTGTTGCACCCGATGCCATGCAATATATTGATGCGCGCTGCGTGGTGTACTCCATGTGCAGCGATCGTACTCTTGTATGTGGTGTAATCCTTGCGGCGCAGTTCACCCAACCGAACTAATAGCTGTCAACTCCACTGGTCGTGCAATCATCCCACCCCCCACCCCCAACTTGGTTTGCAAAACCCATGCGGCGGCGATTGCGATTACTGCTTGGCGCATGCTGGCGCGTCGCTGCGGCCGCGCTAGCGCGTGCAGGTTCGCGCGCAGGGCGTCCAGCTAGTCTGGCGCGACCGACGACGCCGCGGTTGCTCGGGAGCGCGACCACGTAATTTTGGAGTGTGTGGCTTCGGGGACGCAGATCTTGTATAATTGTCGTGGGATTCTGGCCTCGGGGGCGCGAGTGCGGTGTAATTTGCAAGGGGTCATAGTTTCGGGGGCGCGACTCTCACGTATTTTTACGCGTTACAGGACCCCCCAGAAATTGTAAGAACCCCATCCAGGTGAAGGTAACCAGGGCCCCTTTCGGCTCCCCACCTCGCGCGGATCTCAAGACTTCACAGTCGGTCGCAGAACACAGAATTGCAACATCGGAGAATGAACATTGGAACTGGATCAGGGAGCAGCAAGCCTAAGCCCCGGAGCCTGATGGCCCCGCAAGGGGGTCGGCGGATTTAGCGGTCGCGACCTTTGGAGGCGTGACAAAAGAACGCAAGCGTTCCAATATATATATATATATATATATATATATATAGTCGATTCCCTCTCTCTCTCTCTCGCTTTCTCTCCCTCTGTCTCTAACTCTCTCTCTCTCTCTCGTCCTCGCCTCCATTTTTGGCGGCCCAGCAGCTTCCCGCTTACTGTCTTCTGAAAGCGGCAGAGGAGCCACAATGTGTCCTTCGGCCCGTCCAGCCAACGTGCCTCGGTTGTGGGCCAGATACTCGATGCCATCTCTTAGGATACCTCTCGAATCATTGGAGGCTTCTTGAGGGTCTGCTGGAAGTCTTCGTTGGCCTCTTCGGCGCTTCTGGGGGATCTTGGGGACGACATCCAGGGAACGGCTGCCAAGGTCTCTTCGCGTCCCGCCTCCTGGTTTTTTGTTTCGCCTCTTGAGCCGTCTTGGGGGCCTTCTGGGCCGTCGCGGAGCCATGTTCGGCAGTCTTGGGGCTTCTTGGGGGTCTCTTGGGCCGTCTTGGGCGGTCTGGGCGTTCTTGCTGCGTCTCGGTGGCCTCGTGGGCCGACTTGAGGCCATCTTGGGCCGTCTTGGAGCGCCCTTGGCCCCTGTCGCCGTTCTTATGGACCGTCGTCATGGACTGTCTTGGGGACTTCTCGGGGCCCTCTTAGTCCATTGATTGGCTCTTTGACCTCCAGAAAAAAAGAACAAAAACAAAAAAAAAAAAAAAAAAAAAAAAAATGCGGCAAACCCAAGAAGCCACGCGAGAATCCCCGTCCATGGGGCATATGGGCCGCATTTGGCATGACCAATACAGGGGAAGCTCGGAGGGACCGGAGACCACTCCACTGGGTGCCCACGTGGCGGATTTCCGTAGCCACTTTGGCTCGGGCCTTTTTGACGCAAGCAGCCGGCTCAAGGTCGACGCCGGACAACTCCTGACAAGCGGAGTTTGCGCTGCGGTTGGCACTCCAGGACGTTCCCGTCGGTTTCCAAAGGGAGGGGGAGGTTGAGGAGGAGGAGGAGGAGGAGGTGAGGAGGAGAGGAGGAGAAGGAGGAGGAGGAGGAGGAGGAGGAGGAGGAGGAGGGAGGAGGAGGAGGAGGAGGAGGAGGAGGAGGAGGAGGAGGAGGAGGAGGAGGAGGAGGGGGGGAGGAGGAGGAGGGGCTCGGGATGCGTTCCAGTGGCTGCGCCTCGCCGGGAGCGCTCCCGGTGTGCCTGGAGATCGCCCCGGGCGGGCCTGCATCCTCCTGAACGGCAGCCAGAGGCCCAGGCTATGCCATATACAAACGCATAATTACATTCAAACATGCATGCAGACATACATGCATACATACATGCGTACAAGAATGTATTCACCAATCCATTATTATCTGAAAATTTGACATCCCCGCGCCGTGGCAAAATCACACCGGGCGTATGTTGGCCACTCGCGGCCTCCGGAGGCCATCGGTGGCCCCGGGGGCCGCCAGGGAACGACTCAGGATGAGCCCGTCCCCGGGATGGAGCCCCTAGACCTCTGGGGGGGCAACGTCCTGAAACAAGTCGCGCCGTCGGAGGATCGGGTGCGCGGGTCCATGGGCGAGTCCCGCCTGCTGCTGCACAAGCAAGAGCAGCGATGGCGCCCAACGGCCACGCCACCTGTGCCGTCTCGCTCGCGGCCGTTCGCGCGACCGCCGCCGCCGGAGATCCGGGCCGCGGCTCCGGCGGTGCGTGCGCCCCAGAGGACGCCGAGGCGGCGGACGGTGCCTCGCTCCGCTCGGGGAAGCGTGAGGCGCGAGCTCGCCGGAGCGCGGGCGTGCGGGCGCGTCTGGCCCGTCCTGGAAGTGGACGGTCCATGTCTCGTAGGAGGTTTGCCGCGGGAGGTCGCGTCGGAATTCAGATGGCGTCTCGTCATGTTCCTGACGGCCCCGTCGGTCCCACCCGAGTCTCCCGAACCCGAGTCTCACGTCTCCCCGACTCTCCAGCCAAGGGGCAAACTCAATCCGACCAGCTTAAGCGATTCAAGAGAGCACGATTCGCAGGGACCGTCGAGGTTTTCTTTTGATGGGCGAGAGTTTGAAAGGAGGCAGGGCTACCTTCTGAATCCCAAAACCATAACGAGAATGGTATGCGGTTCGCAGTTCTTCGGCTCGGAATCCGTCACGTTAGAAGCTTTGCAGATTTGCGCTCACGACATCTCAGATTTCAGGGGTTTCTCTATCAATCGGAATAAGTACCATGGAGATTGCGTGCAGGCGTGGTTTGGTACCAATCGCAGGGGTCGTCCTGACTTTGGCCATTGCTGTCAACAGAAAGACAATGACTGGTACACGTGGCTGTTGTACAGACCACAGCTCGACGACTTTGGCCAGAGCTTATCCGGCCTGCAGAACTGCCAGGGCGATTGTGACAGCGACAGCGACTGCGAAGGGGCTCTCAAATGCTTTCACCGAGATGGCTATGCAGAGGTACCTGGATGCGACGGAACGGGTAGAAACAATTGGGACTATTGTTATGATGGCGGCAGTCATAGCAGTGCTGGGTACAAACCACAGCTCGACGACTTCGGCCAGGGCTCATCTGGCTTGCAGAAGTGCCAGGGCGATTGTGACAGCGACAGCGACTGCGAAGGGGTTCTCAAATGCTTTCATCGAAATGGCTACACAGAGGTACCTGGATGCGACGGAACGGGCAGAAGAAATTGGGACTATTGTTATGAGGCCTAGAGTGTGCGGAAATTGTTATTCCGCTCGCGATCATGTATTAAGCGTGACGTTGAGTTGGGGCATCGGGCTAGGTTTGGTATCGCCCATGCGGTGCACATATCATCGGAGGCTAGGTGGGGTGAGAAGGTAAGGTATCAGCGGCAGAAGTGCTGAAAAGCAGTGAGGAGAACCTCCCCCACTACATCTGGTATCTACATCTGGGAGTGCATTGACGCACGCGCGCTGGTATGCGTTTCCTCATTCTTGAAAGAGCAGTGGCCTCTAGAGGATGCTTGCGGTCGAACACTCTCTTACTCTCTTTCTTTCCGCATTACCGATTACATGCCGTAGCCGTACTGCTTGCAAGAGCGGTGATATGTCTTGAGTGCATTGTGCCCAGTGCTCTCGGCCGCCTGGCCCCCCCCCCTCCCAGGCCCTGGGGCCGCGAGACCTTGAGATCCGACGTAGCGAAAAAGTGCTACATCGTTAAACATCACGGTATCATCAGGACCACAGTTGTCTGCGCCTTTTTCGAGTCAGATCGATCTGTGGGGGGTCCGGGGCCTGATTCTGGGAGAACACGCCCGATGTGAAAAACATGCAACGCCCAGGTCTCAGGGGATCTGCCGTGCCAGCCGGGGAGACGGACGGAGGACCTCGGCAGCAGCCGACCGCAGTCTCCTCGGCAATTGCATTGCGAGCGTGCCGCGCGCGCAAACGCGCCCGCGTCGTCTAGGGGTACGAACAATGACATAAACATAAAGACTCGGAGGTCTGTGCGGATTTCTCGGATCCGCGCTGGACCCCCCTGGCGGCGCCTCCGGCGCCGCCCCTGGCGCTTCGCGCGGCAGGGAGGGGGGTCCAGCACAGATCGATGCAATCCGCGCGGACCTCCGTGGTTTTCATGTTCATGCCATCTTTCGTTCCCCATACCGTCGCCATCGTCATCGTCGTCGTCCTCGGACCCGTCGTCCTCGGACCCGTCGTCCTCGGAGCCGTCGTCGTCGTCGTCGTCGTCCTCGGAGCCGTCGCCGTCGCCGCCGTCCTCGGAGCCGCCGTCGTCCTCGAGCCGCGCCGTCGCCGTGGCGGGGGCAGGCGCGGAGGCCCATGGGCCAGGCAGGCGTGCGCCAAGGAGGGCGGCCGCCACGTCCGCGGTGGTGCCTGAAAATCGTTCCGGTCCCTGGAACATGTCTGGGAGGAGGAGGAGGAGAAGGAGGAGGAGCAGGAGGTGGAGGGGGAACAGGAGGAGGAGGAAAAGGAGGTGGAGGAGGAGGAGGAACAGGAGAAGGTGGAGGGGGAAGAGGAGGCAGGCCTGGAGGAAGTGCCGGGGCGGTCGGCCCCTGCTCAGCTCTTGGGTGTGCTTGAGGGGTGCCTGAAGGGTTGTGCTTCAGGGGTGCTTCAGGGGTGCTCGAAGGGGTGTGCTTGAGGGGGTGTGCTTGAAGGGGTGTGCTTGAAGGGGTGTGCTTGAAGGGTGCTTGAAGGGAGGTGCTTGCAGGGAAATGCTTGAAGGGGTGTTCTTGAAGGGTGCTTGAAGGGGGGTGCTTGAGGGGGGGTGCTTGAAGGGGTGTGCTTGACAGGTGCTTGCAGGGTGGTGGCTCCCCTCGTGCGCACCTGCGCGCGGGCGGCACGCGGGCGCGCCTCGACCGCCGCCGCGCCTCGCCGCCCCTCCGACCCCCCCTCCTCCGGAGAGCCGGCCGAGCCCCCTGTCGCCCTCGGGGAGCAGGGGCGTGCCGCTGCCTCGTCGTCGTCGCGGTCGTCGCCCTCGCCGTCGTCGTCGCCCTCGTCGTCGTTGTCGTCGTCGTCGTCCTCTTCGTCGTCGTCGTCGTCGTCATCGTCGTCGTCGTCGTCGTCCTCGGAGCCGCGCGCTTCGCCCCGAAGCAGCGGCAGCCGCAGGCGGGTACTGCGGCTGGTGCGGCGAGGGCAACGCCTGCTGCCGCAGGGGCCACCGCCACGACCGCGCCGAGTGCCACTTTGCCGTGGGCTACACCTCGGAGCACCACGAGTGCGTGCCGCGCTTAAGCACCTACGGCCAGGGAGGTCGAGTTGAGGCAGCGGCATTCGGCCTTCGGGGGGCCCCTCGTCACCACGGCTGGACGAAGCTCGAACAATTGGTGCGTGTGGACCCCAGGAGGGGTCGGATGACCGATGTCGAGCCACGACCGCGCCGAGCGATACGTTGCCGTCGGCTGCACATCCGAGCACCACGAGCGCGTGGCGCGCTTAACGTTGAGATCCCGTCGTCTTGATTTTTTCGAGCCAGGCGCTTTCGCGTGGTTTCGGGCGCCAGGACCCTCGCGGATCGATCCGGCTTGAAAAATGGCGCAGAAGGATGGGCTTCAGGGCTCTGGCTGTGATGTATCACGATGCCTCCATTTTTCGTCATGTCGGATCTCAGGGAAGTGCGGCCACACCACATCATAAGGGCCAGTAGGTCTCCAGAGGGGCTCTTCTGAAACGAAGAATTGGCGTACACGTGAACTTTCGGCGCTCCGCGCGGGTTTCTTGGATCGGCGCTGGGACCCCCTGGCGGCACTTCCTGCGACGCCCCTGGTGCGCTCCGCGCGCCGGGGGGTGGGGGTCCAGCGCGGATCCAAGAAATCCGCGCGGAGCCCAAGAAGCTCATGATTATGCCGTACAATCGGCACTGATTAGCAGGTCGACCTTGCCAAATCAAGGGTACCCTTGTGTCCTGTGCCTCGCGATCCATGCCCCCTACATTCCTATGACAATGTGGCCCTCGGAAGGGTCTTGTGTCCTGTCGCGTGTCCCGTCCAATCATGCCCCACTGTATTTTGTTCCAGTACGGCCAAGCCGCATCATAAAGATCAGTAAGTAATTTTCCTCCGAAAGAGCGCGTTGTGTGGTCGCTTGGACGGGGGGGCGTGTAGAACCGGACACCCCCTCCTCCCCTACTTGTCCTCTCTCCCTCTCCTCGGACAGGCGCCTTCGTCTCGGCGGCGGCGGCTGGCGGCGGCGGCGGGAACGACGACTTCCTTTTCTGGGCCGGCGCCGGCGCCTGCGGCGGCGGGCGGCGGCGGCGGTGAGCGTCGACGAGGATGGTGGTGTTGGTGGTGGTGGTGGGTTGTGGTGGTGGTGGTGGCGGTGGTGGTGGTTCTGGTGGTGGTGTGGTGGTTTGTTGTGGTTGCGGTTGTGGTTGTGGTGGTGGATGGGTGTTGGTGGTGGTGGTGGTAATGGTGGTGGTGGTGGTTTTGTGGTGGTGTGGTGGTGGTTTGTGGTGGTGGTGGTGGTGGTGGTGGGTTGTGGTGGTGGTGATGTTGGTTTGGTGGTGGTGTGGTGGTGGTTTGTGGTGGTGGTGGTGGTTGTGTGGTGGGTTGTGGTGGTGGCGGTGGTTTGTGGAGGTGGTGCTGGTGGTGGTGGTGGTGGTGGCTTTGGTGGTGGTGGTGTGGTGGTTTGTGGTGTTGGTGGTGGGTTGTGCTGCTGGTAGTCGTGGTGGTTGTGGCCTTGGTGGTTGTGGTGTGGTAGACTGTGGTTGTGGTGGTAGTGGTGGTCGGTTTTTGTGGTGGTGGTGGTGATGGTGAGTTGCGGTGGTGGTGGTTGTGGTGGTGGTGGTGGCTGTGGTCGTGGTGGTGGTTGTGTGGTGGGTATGTGGTGGTGGTGGTGGTGGGTTGAGGCGGCGGTGGTGGTGGTAGTGGTGGTGGTGGTGGAGGTAGTGGTGGTAATCGTCGCTGTGTTCCCGCCGTCGCCAGGTGGGGGGGGGGGGTTGTCCCCCCGGTCGGCTGGGTTGCGGCCGCCAGCGCCGGCGCCGAAGGGAAGGGGGGGGGATTTTGACCCCCCCCCTTGGAAGGGGAGGGGCGGGGGGGGGCCGGAAGTGGGGGGGTTTGGAGGGGAGGTGGGTCCGCCTGGTTTTGACCGACGTCGCCGAGAGTTGGGGGGGGGCCCACCCCTCGGTTCGAAACGCGCCGGTGCATGTTCCCAATGTAAAAGCCTGTGAAACGCGCTCTGTCTTTCCTCCAAGAGTGCCCGTGCATCCGTGCCTCCTGGCCAATCCTAGCCCCCAGCCGATGGCCGTGGGCAGTGACTGCGGCTTCAGTATTGACGTCCAAGGGCCCTGCGTCCTCAAAGAGCATCCTTGTGATCTGTTTCGCTGTATCCTCTCAAATGGTAGCCAGCGGTGACCCCAAACAGCGTATGTCTACCAATATGTAGGTTGTGCAGTCGATGTGAAGCAAACTATGTGGTGCAACATGCGCGGTGCAATATTTGTTGTGCAATCCACGTTGTGCAATCGATGTAGTGTTGTCTATGTCAAGAAACTTACGTTGTGCAGCACATGATGTGCACCATATGTTGTGCAGCCTATATTGCGCAATATATGGGGTGCAATCTATGTCGTTCTCCGAACTCTGCTTGAACTTCGGAGTTTTTAGTTATTGTCTCAGGAACTGGGCCTGTGCGTCGGTCTGGCGGCTATGTTGAGACCATGTTGTCGCCGTCGCCACCTCGTCGCCGCCCGTCTTCTGGGCCTGTGCGTCGGTTTGGCGGCAATGTTGTCATCGTCGTGGCACGCACATCACAGCTACACCCGGTCTAGTCAGTTATGTGTGGTTATTTCTGTCGTGTGGACTGGCTTGCTGCGTCTTGGGTTTAGCTGGAAATGCGTGGTTGGGCCTTGTACGGCGGTGCTTCCTTGAAGGGAGTGTCTTGTTGGAGATTGCGAGTGTGGATAGTGTCGAGGTGCTGCTCGTATCGTGCTTGGTGTGGGCGTACTGTGTCGATGTACTCGTACAAACGTGGGCTTCCCTGTGTCGTGCAAAAGATGCGTCCACGGCTGTCGTTCACGTTGTGTTGCGCGTATATAGTGTATCGGGGATTCCGCACGTCCCTTGGATGGGACATAGTTTTGAAAGGTGGCGTAGGTCTGTGGTGCTAGTCGGTGCATGGATACTAATTGTAGCCATCGCTGTGTCAGAACGTCTTGGAAAAATTGGCAAACAATGGGTATCTTGAGCGTCGGTGATGTTGATGGCGACTCTTGTTGCAGATGACCAGATGGTCATGGCCTTCGCGTGTGGCTGCGATTGTGTTGCTGATGGTGGTGTGTAGTAGACATCTGAGGTGGTGGTGTGTTGGCGACTGGTGTGGCCCGCAGTGGTGGCGGTTGTTTGGTAGGTGGTATGTGTGTAGGTGGCGGTGGTGCTGGTGCTACTGCTGCCCTTCTCGTTCGTCGAGTGAGTGGTCGTCGGCGTGTCCTCATCGCTTGAGCTGGAATTGGCTGCCAGTTGCGTGAGCTTACAGTGCTGTGAACCGCAGTCGGATTGCATATCTTTGGTAGGTGTGCTGCCGTGTTGTATATTTTGATTGCCCAATCGTACTTCATGTTGCTGTCGATGCCGTGACATGCTTTAAGCCATTGTGTTACTCCCTGTATGGCTGCGGTCGCGTTGTGGTGCAATGGTGCATGTCCCCCTGTCAGCAGTGTTTGGAAGTGGTGGTTGGTGGCAGTTACTGCTTTTCGTAAAGCCGCGTTGTTACGATACTGGCTGGCAAATGCGTCTAGGTCGTTGCCGTGTCGGAGTCTAGGTTGTCGGCTTGGAGGTTTTTTGGAGGGGGTAGAAAGGTGTCGGCGTGTATTGAGTGTTTGGATTTGAAGTATGTGGTTTCGGTCGTGAGTGGCAGTTGGAAGGTCGAGAGTGGCGTCACTCTTGAGTCGAGTCGTAGTGGAGAATGTGGTAAGAATTCGTTCTGGTCTTGGTGTACGAAGAGCTTGTTGTTGAACTGATCCAAGTACTTGTGGCAGTAGCAGTAGTAGTAGCAGTAGTCGTCGTCGTAGTCGTAGTCGTAGTCGTAGTCGTAGTAGTCGTAGTAGTAGTAGTAGTAGTAGTAGTAGTAGTAGTAGTCGTAGTCGTAGTCGTAGTAGTAGTAGCAGTCGTAGTCGTAGTAGTAGCCGTATTTATAGTAGTAGCAGCAGCAGTAGCAGTAGTAGTAGTAGTAGTCTCGTAGTAGTAGTAGCAGTAGCAGTAGAAGTAGTAGTAGTAGTCGTCGTCGTCGTAGTAGCAGTCGTAGTCGTAGTCGTAGTCGTAGTCGCTGTAGTAGTTGTCGGGTTAGTATTCCCACGTGAGAGAAGAGTCCCGATCCGACCGTCCTAATTTAGTAGTAGTAGTAGTAGTAGTAGTAGCCGTCAACTTTGCAGCAGTGGTAGTA